CCACCGGAGGAGGGTCCCACATGGCGCGCAGACCTCTCCTGCCGCCCGCTGCTCCCCTCAGCAGTGTACTTCGGTCCTTCTGCCTGCTCTGCTCCCCGCTCTGGCTCTGGTGAGTTCTCTCGCCCTCCCGCGCTTCTGACTGTACCCAGTGCATGTATAAACAAACAAACAAACAAATAAATAAATAAAACATGCCTCTATTAAAAAAAAAAAAAAAAAAAAGAAAAATAAATCAACTTCTCAGTTTTCTTATCTGTAAAAATGAAGCTAATCCTTTACCTTGACTATCACAAAATGGTAGTGAGAAACAAATGGGATGTATAAGAAAATGCCTTTAACATACAGGATGACTTCCATGCAAGTATAAACATAATTGAAGGTATTTAAGAAGGTTTGTTCTTCCATATCTTCTATGTTCAGGTTAGTCTCTTTGCCAGGAATGGCTTTTTCCAAAACTCTTACCCAATAAAACCTCCCTTGGCAAAATCCCCTATTTAAACGCCCCTCCTTAACAAAGCCTCCTTGAATTTCTGACCATCCCCAAAGTCATTCATTCATTCAACAAGTATTTATCAAGCACTTATTATGCACTAGGTTCTACACAGGTATTAAGGATACAATGAGTAAAATGAACATGGTCTCTATCTTCATGCTGCTAGTATTTATCTCATTGGATTGCTATGAGGATTAAATGAGATAAAATTTGCAAACTACTTAAAACAGGGCCTACATATAGCCACATTCAATAAATATTAGTTATTCTGTTGCTGCCTAATCACGCCACCTAAAAAAGTTTCCAATACACAAGATCACCATATATCTTAATTTCTTCTTAGTGTAATTATTTCTCACTATTTATTTTATTTATTTATTATTTATTTATTTATTGTCTATTCCCACTCTCCAAGGACCATGTTTTTCTTTTTCTCTTTCTTTTTTTTTTTTTTTAAGATTTATTTATTTTTATACAAGAACCAGGGTATAGGCCAGATGCGGGGGAGGATGAGAGGATTCACCAGAGACAGAACAGGGAACAGAACAGGCAGACTAACGAAATGCACTGCTGAGGGGAGCAGCATGTGAGACAAAAGAGGTCTGCTTCATCATGTGGGATTCTCGCCGGCCAGTAGGCCGGGATCAAACCTATGCTGCAGAGGCTGCAGACAGCTTCACAGTGTGGCGCTCAACCGCCTGCACCACCAGGGAGGCCCCCCCCCCATGTTTTTCTTTTTAGCCACTGTAATCCCAGAGCCTGGAACAGGACCTGGCCCTTAGCAGATGATCAGAAACCATCTCTTATATCAGTGATTTTTATAGTCTGGGAGTAGAGATAAACATAATCGCACCAAGAAATAAATAATTACAATTGATATGTATTCTATGAAAGACAGCTACATAATAGAAGGATGTGACTTAGTTTTTTTTGAGTAGTAGACAGGACAAGTGGGAATTTCCTTAGTTTGCTGAGCTGAAAACTCCAGAGTTAAGCAGGCAAGAGAGTACCACCACAGATCATTTGCATGCATTATCCCTTCTATCTGGTTTTTCACAACTCAACTCTATTAATTTAATTCTTTTTTTTTTTTTTATAGAGGCATATTTTATTTATTTATTTATTTGTTTGTTTGTTTATTTATACATGCACTGGGTACAGTCAGAAGTGCGGGAGGGTGAGAGAATTCACCAGAGCCAGAGCGGGGAGCAGAACAGGCAGAAGGACCGAAGTACACTGCTGAGGGGAGCAGCGGGTGGCAGGAGAGGTCTGCGCGCCATGTGGGACCCTCCTCCCGTGGCCGGGGAGCAGCCGGGAATCGAACCGGCGCCGCAGAGGCCGCGGGCAGCTTCACAACCCAGCGCTCAACCGCTGCGCCACCGGGGAGGCCCTCAACTCTATTAATTTAATCCTTTAGTTCTCTTCTTTTTTTTTAAGATTTTATTTATTATGCATACAAGAATTGTGTGGGGGGTGAGAGGATTCACCAGAGACAAAGTGGGGAACAGAACAGGCAGACTGATTGAAATACACTGCTGAGGGGAGTAGCGGGCGAGTCAGGAGAGGTCTGCTGCACCACGTGGGTATCTCCCTGGCTGGCTGGGGGACGGAACTGAAGCTACAGAGACTGCGGACAACTTCACAGTGCTGTGCTTAGCCCCTTGCACTACCAGGGAGGCCCTAGTTCTTTTCTTGAAACTAAGATCCTCTTTGGAGGCCAACCCTAACTATCCTATACCATATCCCACAATTTTTCCTTTCTTAGCATTCTTCACATTTAAAATTACCTTGTTTTGTTTGATGTTTATATTGTTCACATACAAAACAAGGCAGAGACTTTACTATCTGTGATAGCCCCAATGTCAACATAATCAGTGGCACTCAAAAGAATGTTAGATGAATTTAAAAAAAAAGCACTATATCCTAGACCACTGGTTCTGAAAATGAGGTTCACAGACTAGGAACATTAGTATTAATGTGGGTATTTGTTAGAAATGCAAACTCTCAGACCCTATTCCTGGCCTAATAAACTCTTGAGGTGGTAGCCCAGCAAGCTCTTCAAGTGATTGTGCTTCATGTTTAAGAGCCCCTGTCTTATAGATCTCAACTATTCAAAACACAAGAAAGGAAGTATTTTTTAAAATAAAATAAAAAACTTTATAACATGCAGTTCTATTTACTGAGCGCCTACTTAAATACATTGCACAAGGAAAACAAAAGAATTAGTCTATACAGATCATTCTCAAAATAAGCTAATAGTTTGCTTTCTCTTTGACCCATACATACACTCTTACTCTGTGTGTGTTTTATCAAGTAAGGAAAAATCAAGTTGGCTGGAAGCAAAGTCTAAACCATGCCTAATACATCTTTCTATTCTCATTTCCAATTACCTATGCTCATTCCCATGTCCCTCCCAGTGACCATCTGATTGCTAAACTGATACATAAAGGTAGTCCTGTTTTCTGTAACACATGCTAATTACTTGTTTGTTTTTTAATCTAGGTAACATTAATTTACAACATTGTATATGATTCAGAAGTACTGGATCACACCTCTTCAGATGTATTACACACCACCACACCCTCTACCAAGGCATCCATAATCCTCTACCATAGTCTATTGGGAACACCCGCAACCCCCAGTACTCCTCAACACCACCACCCTGCCCAGAGCATCCTATTACTTTCTATTTACATTCACAACCAAGTATTCTTTCCCTTCCCAAAAGGACCTGCATAAATCCTATTCATCTTTCAGGTCCAACTGGAATGACACTGATGGATCCTAAATGCCCAAAAAGGAGTTTATAACTTCTTCCTCTGTACTCATTTCTTCATCCTGAGTGGGAGAGCCACCTCTTCAGAAATCTAGCAATCTGGTATCTAAGTAGGACAACTCTGTATTTTGAAGAGACATCTTACTAAATTTGCTTTTTGCACCAAAAATGAAATTCTCACTACACTCTTTCTGTGTAGTCCACGATTGCCTCAAATTTCGGTTTATGGTTATACTTATCAGATAGGAAAATGAGACCTTGAGCAAATCATTCAAACACCTACTTAGCCTGACAAGGGGGAGTAAGAATGGCACAGCTGCTGCCTGTTTCTCACCAGGAGAAACAGGTTAACACACAATGACAATGTGTTGGGTCATGAATGTGAAAGGCTGTTGTAGGAGAATGACAAATTAAAAACACAGTCAATGAGTTAAGGAAAATTCACAGATTGGTTTCATAATAAACCACTTTCCTAAGAAACCAATAGGAGAAAAATAGAAATTGACTAATCTCCTAGGAGAACATGATTACCAGGACTTAATTTTGACTAGAATGTCTTATTCCTCGCAGACCAAAAATTTAGATGGCTACATAGGATGAGACAATGTTTTCATTAAATGCACTGCAAATCATGTATAAACCAGCTCAATGAAAAGCCCACTGAAGCCTCAATCTATCTTGAAACAGGAGAAAATCTGCTAATATTAATAAGGTTCTCTCAACTAAAGGCAGAGAGGGCAAAACAAAGAAGGTATTAGAAGGTATTAAAAAGACTTTCACCATCTGACTGCCAAGCTGATTCTCAGTGTTCAGATGCCCTCGTCTCTTCTCCAAACAAAAACAAACCATTGTTCTGAGTACCAGACAAACCTGAAAACAAATATTTTTTAAATTTCCCAAACTGGAAATTTTAAATTACCTCACATTAAAAGATGCTTAAAATAAACACAAATTTCAAAACATGTTCAGCTGTATCTATCAAAAGGCTTATCTTACAAGGTGATACTATGCAATCTGGCCCTCACCCCCATGTTCATGCCATCACTTCAGAACACGCTCAGATGTTCTCTCCAATTCCCTCCTTCCCCAACTACAAAAATAAAAGGGCAGAATAAAGCCTACAAATCTTATCTGCCTGCCCTACAGCTCTAGGGAAGCAAATCGCCCTCAAACTGTTTCTGCTTAGGTCCCCTGAAGCCAGCAGAGGCAAGTGCGGACAGCTGTGAGAGCTAGGGGGCGAGGATAGGGGGGAGAGGAAATACGGATGGTAGAAGATGAAAGGGAGAAAGGACGGGGAGAGGAGGGGACAGTGAAAATAAAATGGTGAGAGGGGGTGAGAAAGGAGAGCAAAGAGCAAAAAGGGGGTAAGGAGTAGAGAGCCCCAAAGAGAGGAAAAGGCAAAATGGTAGAGGAGAAAGGGACAGTCGGGTTAAAGGACAGGGAGTTGTGGGGGGAGGGGAGTCAGGGGAACAAGAAAGAAGCCGTCACTAGGATGATTTTAAATAGGGTGTCACAGGGGAGGGGGGGAACATGGGGGCGGGGGAGGACGGTGTCAACCCAGCAGGTGGCCGGGGACGGCGGGGAAGGAGCGGGTCACCGCGGTGGAGCAGTAACAAGGGATGAGGTAAAGGCGGGGCAAAGAGGGGACCCCAGGGCTAGGGAGGGGCAGGCCCTCGGCTGCCGGGGTGGCGGGCGGCGGCGGCTGGGCTCCGGCAGGCCCCGCTCCCTCACCATGGTTGGTCCGGCCTGGTCCTCGGGCGTGCAGCCTGGGTCCTGGATTCCGCGGCGGGCCGGGCCTAAGCCCGACCCCAAGCTGAGCCCGCGCGGAGGCTCCAGGAGGCTCCGGCGAGCGGCGGCTCCGGGCTTGGCCCAGGCCTCGGCCTCCCTCCTCTCAGATGAACATGCAGCAGCCGCAGCCGCAGCCGCAAGCCGCAGCCGGACCGAGCGCAGACTACGCCCCCGCGAGGCCCCGCCCCGCCCCAGCCTGGCCCCGCCCCGCCCTCCTGCGCAGACTCACAGGGGAGCCCAGCCCCCCCCCCCTTACCGGGTCCCACCTTCTATTTGTCCCCCTTCCGGGCCCTTAAGGGACCACACCTCTTGAAAGTCGGTCCTCCCGTTAACAGTAGTGCTTTAAATATTACGTCATTACAGAAGAGCCGAGCACGCATCCATTTCAGTCACCTATAGACCCCTGTGGTGCTGGTCCTTTGTCTTTCTTCCTATTGTCATAATTCTTGGAGATTTCAGGTTTCTTAAATGATTCTTCCAGTGCAGGACCTAGCAGATCACTCTCTTCTGGGGATCACCTTTACCTCAACCTCATTTCCATTCTCACACCTTGTATCTTCTCATTAACACTAATTGTAATCCCTCTATATCTCAATTTTAAACTTACAGCTCTCCCACCACCCCCTACCTTTCTAGGTCATTCCCTTCAGTGCTCAACTTCAAAACTTCGATTCTGCCAAGACTCAAAATCTACGGATGCTACAACTACCTTTGTATCCTCACCTCCTTCCTTGAACAGATTAGACACTATTGTTCATCATGGAAATCATTCCAGGTGTTCACCTTCATTTCTCCAGTCCTTCTCTCTTTTTCTTGTGTTCATGTGACGAGCGCTAATCCTGAAATTGCTTAAAAAACAAAACAAAAGAAAACCGGGCCTCTCTGGTGGTGCAGGCGGTTGAGCGCTGCACTGTGGTGTCCTCAGCCTCTGCAGCGCCGGTTCGATCCCAGCTGGCCGGCGAGGGTCCCACATGGTGCAGCAGACCTCTCCTGTCTCGCCTGCTGCTCCCCTCAGCTGTGTATTTTTTTTAACATTTTATTTTATATAATTCATACATCATTTTTCATTTTTGCACAATGTATGCATTTTCATTTTGGTTATATCCTCAGCAGTGTATTTCAGTCAGTCTGCCTGTTCTGTTCCCTGCTTTGTCTCCGGTAAGTCCTCTCACCCTCCCACGCATCTAGCCTGTACCCTGGTTCTTGTATAAAAATAAATAAATCTTTAAAAAAAAAAACAAAAACCAAAAACTAGAAACGTGGAGAAAAACCAAAACCATACTAACTGATCTCTCTCTAAATTTGATATCACTGTCCTCAAATAGGCCCTTATTATACTGTTACATTTCCTCAGTTCCATACAGTCCCTCACCCTACTAAAGAACTATATCACATCTCTTCAAACCCTCCCTCATCCTCTCTTAACCGATGATTTTGCTTCCAATTCACTAAGAATATAAACAAAAGAGAACAGATACCAGTCCCACCATTAACCATGATTTCCTACCTACCTATAATTCTGTTTTGAATGTAATTCTGCTCCCATACCCTGTCTTCCTTCCCTTACTCAAGTGAACTGTTTGCCTTTTAACTAGGATCAACCCTCCTTAGTTCTTTTTTTTTTATAGATTTGTTTATTTATGCATACAAGAGCTGGGGTACAGGCCAGAGATGCAGAAGGTGAGAGGATCCACCAGAAACCGAGTGGGAAACAGAACAGGAAGACTGACTGAAATACACTGCTGAAGGGAGCAGCAGGCAAGACAGGGGAGGTCTGCTGTGCCATGTGGGTAGCTCCCTGGCCTGCCCGGGATCAAACTTGTGCTGCAGAGGCTGTGGATTTCTTCATAGTGCAGTGCTTAACCCCTTGTGCCACCAGGGAGGCCCAACCCTCCTTAGTTCTTCTCAAACAATCTGCACTGAAATTTTGGTGGTTTTTTTTTTTTTTTCTCAGTCACAAACCTATGTTTTAAAATACAATAAAAATTAATTACTAGAGAAATGAAATTTTAAAATGGCATGCAAAATGCAAGTCTAGATTTTTTTACCATCTTTTAAGTGTACCATCTTTTTTAAAAAAAAAAGATTTATTTATTTTGCATACAAGAACTGGGGTACAGGCCAGGCCAGAGGTGTGGGGGGTGAGAGGTTTCACCAGGACAGAGTGGGGAACAGAACAGGCAGATTGAATGAAATACACTGCTGAGGGGATTAGCGGGCGAGTCAGGAAAGGTCTGCTGAGCCATGTGGGTAGCTCCCAGGCAGGCCGGGGATCGAACCCGTGCTGCAGTGGCTTCAGATAGCTTCATAGGTTGTGTCTTAACCCCTTGCACCACCAGGAAGGCCCAAAGTGTACCATCTTTAAAGGGTACTTTTTTTTATTTTTATTTATTTTTTTTTTTTAGAGGCATGTTTTATTTATTTATTTGTTTGTTTGTTTTTTGTGTGTTTATACATGCACTGGGTACAGTCAGAAGCGCGGGAAGGTGAGAGAATTCACCAGAGTCAGAGCGGGGAGCAGAGCAGGCAGAAGGACCGAAGGACACTGCTGAGGGGAGCAGCGGGCGGCAGGAGAGTTCTGAGCGCCATGTGGGACCCTCCTCCGGTGGCTGGGGAGCAGCCGGGGATCGAACCCGCGCCGCCGAGGCCGCGGGCAGCTTCGCAACCCAGCGCTCAACCGCTGCGCCACCGGGGAGGCCCTAAAGGGTACTTTTTTTTAAAGTGTACAGTTCAATGCCCTTAAGTGCATTCATATTATTGTGCTATCATCACCACTGTCCAGTTCCAGAACTCTTCATCCTGCAAAACTGAAGCTAGATACTCATTAAACAGTAAATCCTCATTCCCTCCTACCCACACCCCAGTCTCTGACAACCACATTCTACTTTCTGTCATTATAGATGATTACTTTTTTTTAAAGATTTATTTATTTATTTATGCATACAAGAACTGGGGTACAGGCCAGAGGTATTGGGGGCTAGAGGATTCACAGAGATGGAGTAGGGAACAGAACAGGCAGATTGACTGAAATATACTGCTGAGGGGAGCAGTGGGCGAGTCAGGAGAGGTGTGCTGCGCCATGTGGGTAGTTCCCTGGCCAGGGCTCGAACTCATGCTGCAGTGGCTGCGGACTGCTTCATAGGTTGCGCCTTAACCCCTTGCGCCACCAGGGATGCCCTCCTGTTATTTTTAATATCCAGTGCCCTGAATCCATAAGGGAGGGGACCATTCTAAAGGTCTGTCTTTTGTCAACTCTATTGGATAATGAAAAGTTTCCCCATTAAAAATAAACAACTTCCTTCTTAACAATTTAATAAAGGGGTGAGGGGGTAGACAAACATTACTGATTATGATGGCATTCAGCTGGCAACTCCTGAGCATGAAGCGATGCACTGCATTTCAGCTACTCATCAGAACCCAAGAAGCAGGGCAGAAGTTTCCTTAAGCATTATCATCTATTACAAGAAATCCACCCTGGTTGGTGGGCCAGCTACTCTCTGTGTAGAGCTAGTCATATTAAAGGGATTTTTTCAGGTCTCAAAGTAGCAATCCGGACACTAACTCCAGCAATCCCTCACAGAGTCACAGCAGCAGCTTTTTGGAAAGCAGTTTATCAGCCAGCCTCAGAGTTAAGCCTCACAACAATCCTTTGTGGTTATTATTCCATTTGCTAGATAAGAAAACAGGCTCAGAGATAGGAAACCTTACAGATTTAGCTATGAAAGAGCTAAATCTAACTCCAGAGTTCATTCAGCTACCTCACAGCTTTGGAGAGGGCTGATGTTTCTCTCTAGGATAGCAAGACTGGGTGAACAAGGTTTTCTAATTCAAAATTGATTTTCTACTATAATGCATGATAAACTTTAGTATCTATGAGAGTCAGCAAGATCACTTTTTAAAGTAGTTTGCTAAGTTCATCCCCCAGAGCCTGATCCACTGGGTCTGGGTTGGGGCTCAAGATTTTGTATTACTATCACATACCCAGGAGATGCTGATGATGCTAGTTCAGGAAGATAGACACACTGGGAAAGCCACATTCCTACTCTGTCCTTTCCTAGAGTCTTCTATGAGATGCCAGAAAGCAAATGAGGATCAATTTCAGCAGGAAAACAAAAGGGTTTTACTCTTCTCTGGACTGTTGCTGAGACACATGTACTATCTCAGGATGACACTGAGGAACGCTGTGTCAGGAGTCAGAAGAGTTGAATTCTGACACTGGGGAGTTGGAATTTGATACCTTTAAGACCTCTGGAACTCTAGATACTCAGGCCTTGGAGCTCTGTTAGATTATCTATAAAATGTCCTGAGGGAGAAAGTGGCCAAGAAAGGGTAGCCTCCAAGGTCTTTATCAGTTTTAACATTCTGACTCTATACTTATTTTGATTCCTCTAGGTACTTATGCCTCCAGGGTGGACAGAGAGTAACAATATTTACCAGGGACCATAGGAACTCTGAGAAATCAGAGCTTATGTAAGAAATCCTCTTTACATAAGGGCTTCAAGACCTCATGGGGGAGCTGGTGGAAACTTCATACTGTGAAATCAGAAATGATGTCTCCAGAGAAGAGAAATGTGAAGTAAAAATCAATTAAGTATCTTCTCACCCTGTCTTAATTAAAAAAGAACAATGAACAGAGGGTTTTGTACAGAAACAAATTCTGGACCTATAAATACAGTGGTGTAAAAATGAGCCTTTCAGATCACTGATCAGGTTGAGGCAGAGGTCTCCAGTAAGATTAAATTTTGCTTTTTAATCATGTTATTGTTATAGGACAGCCCCGATACAAAACGGGTTGCCTGACTGTGGGTCCTCACCCGCACTTAAAAGGACTTTTCAATACTCTACTGCAGGCACACACGAAAGGTTAATAAAAGGTTTATTTACAAGGGAAGGGCAAATGAGGAAATGTACAACTCAGGAAGAAAGTGGGAGACAAAGTTTTAAATGCGTCCTACCCGATCCGCCTATCTGGAATCCCAAATGGCACTCTGAGAGTTGGCCACAAGCTAGAGCCGTGAAGTCAGGAGGCGAGCGAGAGAGCGAGCCCCCCAAGGCCCACGTGTCTGGTTTTTATACCAAACCTGGCTGCTTAACTCCACCCTCAGTTCCCAGCCACCTTCCCTTTGGTG